ATCTTATAACTGTTCAAATATCTGGCAGATGTTTAAGGTCATTGGAGCAGAAAATGCTAGTCGTTCCAAGATCCAAATTAAAAAAAAAAGGAGATCAAGGTTTCTAGTAAGTTCTAAAGTGTGGAACGGGCTACCTATATCCATTAGAACAATTTCCAATAAATCTTTGTTCAGAGGGAAACTTAAACTACACCTCCTAGAAAGAGCTTTTAAATTGGGAGAAAACGGATCCTATTGTACCTATCTGGTGTATCGTTATCTATAGATGATAAATTGTATGTATCCTGTGTTGTTTTATCGGTCACTGTCTACTTTTGATCATTTGATTTTAAGTTTGTACAGCACAATGGTCAGCAACTGTTGTTTATTGCACTTTATAAATGAATAAACTACACTAAATAATTGATGCCTAAATGTAACGTAATATCCCTGCAAAACCAGTTGAGAACCAATGCTTTATATGAGGTTTGCATAATGTTAGTACAACAATCAACTTACCTGTGTAGTTTATGACAAGGAATGTGTTTCTGAATATCTGCAAAATGGGGAATAACATAATGATGACACTAGTTTAGTAGTTGCGGCTGCCATCGATCATGAGATATTTCTTCCTGGTTAAACTTTGGGTTTTAGTTTGTGACCATCATATGAAAACCCCCAAAGGAAATTCAAGTCAACTTACTCAAAGTGTGCTCAAACTGAATGTGATCAATTTGGGAGTCTGTGATCCTGCAGTTCTCCTCTCCAACACTCTCTCCGAGAATAAGACCTTCCTTTAAGCAAAGCACAGCATTAAACACAAGTTACGAGTGAAGAACTGCTTAGTAGACGTTTAGATTATCGTTTAATGCAAAACCAATAATCAGATGGTTAGGTTGGGATTTCTGCCACTTAACGTAGACTAACCATGTTCCGTACACTTTTCGCTATTCAGCGCACTCAAACGGCCACTCCTCCGTCATTGAAAGCCAGATAAGCATGCTTGTGTGTTCATTCTCTGGGGGAATACCTATTGCACAATCCAAATCTTGATTGATGTCTTTTGGACCAGTAGTTTTTGAGAAAAGATGGGACAAGTACTGCCTTCGCATGTGTACGGAAGATGATAGGTATTAACGGTGTTCCGTACACGACTAAAATAGTGTTCCGTACAGGGCGCATAACTTTAATTTTCGGCAAAAATGGGCATTGTTTTAAGTCCTATTAAAATCTTATGTCAGAATATACCATTATTGTGTTTAACTTGAAGTTAATGATATATTAAATAACTATTTTATGAAAATTTTAAATGAAATAGCTTCAAAAATCATTTACTTTTTATATCATGTTTATTTTATTACAGCATGACAATTTAAAATATTAAAACATTAAATTCATGCACATTGAAGCTAACTTGACTGACCTTTTATGAATATAAACATCATTACTGCAAAAGGAGGATCCAAACAGCGTTTGCAGCCTATCTCTCCGGCGGAGAGTTGCGACATGCGGTATTTACCCACGATTGATGTTTAAACATCCAAATTTCAAGGCATTTATTCAACAAAAGATAAGTTATTTAACAATTTGTGATAACATAATATTCACTTCATAAGAACTGTAATACCGTGTGATGCATAAATTAAATGCAAAAGCATATTGTCGGGGCTTTAAATGTCTCCCCTCCCAGGCGACACTTGCACTTTAAGCTTGCCCACTTTCTATTTTCAAGCGCATTAGGTGGACGTAGCAAACTTACTGATTTTACTCGGAAACATATTGTAGGAATGTCTCTGTTGTTGTTGGGGCTGAAAGAGTGAGAATTTAAGATTACACAGATATATAGCTTGCCTACGACCCATAAGTATTTATTCAGAGATTAACGTTAAAAGGTCATCTGTACGGAACATCGTTGTGTACGGAATATGGTTAGTCTACGTTACCACATCCGCATCACTGTTCAAATGATGAAACATCAGTGAACTCAACACGAAACCTGATATACGGACAGTTGTGTTGAATTCCTCCATGCTTTTGGACTAAACCGTGGGTTAATTATCGCACCGTCATGGTTTAAGGTTAGAGTTAATGGGTTACATGTATAAACTTTCTGCGCTCGTAGGTTTCGTTTAGTTATTCTGTTGTCTCGTAGAGGGAGTTTACTGACGAATGTTTGCGTATGCTGCCACCACTTGGTGCGGAAGAATTATTCAATTGTGGATCCTTTTTAAAGCGTTGTTCTTGTCAGTTGAAACTGTGTCAGTCCAGTTTTCAGAGTTAAAGTTCAGTTTAGTTCAGTTCAGTGTGGGTTAATTTTCACTGCTGAAAGTCCAAACACTGAAAAGCAAATCCATTGATACGCAGCTCCACAAATCCCATAACAAGCAATGCAGTGGTGACAGCAGCGAGGAACAAACTTCATCAATTGACGAAAGTGAAGGAAATAAAAAGAGCTAGAGAGAAACCACTTTGGCCAAACTACTTTATTACGGGTAACACTATATTTGTGAGCAGATTTTTCTGATGAGTTTTCGCTTTTCATGCCCATAAAAGTGTTTCTAGAAAAGTTGTGACGTAATATATTATTTGCAGGGGAATTTTGGACAAACAAAGCAAAACTGAACTGCTGAGATTTAATGGTTGTCACGTGTTTTCATTATTATATTCTCCAGTAAGCTAACGCTGATTTCTAGTCGTTTATATAGGATTTTGTAAAACTGTATTATAGGTAGGCTAAATTGTCCGTAGTGTGTGTGTGTGTGTGTGTGTGTGTGTGTGTGTGTGTGTGTGTGTGTGTGTGTGTGTGTGTGTGGATGTTTCCCAGAGATGGGTTGCGGCTGGAAGGGCATCTGCTGCGTAAAAACGTGCTGGATAAGTTGGCAGTTCATTCCGCTGACCCCAGATAAAGGGACTAAGCCAACAAGAAAATGAATGAATGAGTGAAACTGTAGACTGTATACAATAATTACAAATTTTCAATTAAATAATATATTATTTAGCCTCACAGCAAGAAGGTTGCTGGTTCGAGCCCCAGCTGGGTCAGTTGGCAATTCTGTGTGGAGTTTGCATGTTCTCTCTGTGTTGGCATGGGTTTTCACCGGGTGCTCCGGTTTTCCTCACAGTCCAAAGACATGCACTGTGTGAATAGAATAAACTGTATTGTCTGTAGTGTATGAGTGTGCGTGTGAATGAGAGAATGTATAGGTGTTTCCCAGTGCTGGGTTGCAGCTGGAAGGGCATCCGCTGTGTAAAATATATGCTGGATAAATTGGCGGTTCTTTCTGCTGTGGTGACCCCAGTTTAATAAAGAGGCTAAGCAGACAGAAAATGAATAAATATTTGTAACCAGACTTACTTATGAGTTTTTGCTTTTCACGTCAATAAAAGTGTTTTTAAAAGTCGAAACTATTATTATTATTATTTATTTGCAGAGGAAATTTTGGGCAAACAAAGCAAAAACTGATACTCTGGGATTCAATGGTTGTCCAATGTTTTAATTATTATACTTTCCAGTAAGCTAACGCTGATTTAGTTAGTCGTTTATTTAGGATTCTGTAAAACTGTATTAGAATAACACATTGGATTATTATACACTATTTAAAATGTAATAATAATTAATTATTTAAATGTGATATTTATAATGTTTCCCAGAGATGGTTTGGAGCTGGAAGGGCATCCGCTGTGTAAAACATATGCTGGATAAGTTGGCGGTTCATTCCGCTGTGGCAACCCCAGATTAATAAAGGGACTAAGCAGAAGGAAAATTAATAAATAAGTAAATAAAATAGGAGTAAAATTATTTAAATGTTAAAATGTGCAATATTTTGTGTAGCATACAAGTAGATTTATTGCTGTTTTGGCAAAGATAGTACCGCAGTAAATAAACAATTATATTCTCACCTTAAAATTAAAGTTTGCAAAAAAAATGTTAGTTATTTCACCATGCACTCATCCACTTATTGTTGTAAACTTTTGTGTTTAATTTTTCAGTTAAATCACAAGAATTTTTGAAAACAGTGTGAAAGTTGGAAACTTGTAGCCATCGACTTTTGTAGAATTTGACTTTAGAATTTAGAATTGTTTTTTTTTTCTTTCTTTTAATTATTTAGATTAGAACAATTGTATATTGATAATAACACTTTTATTTTCAATAAATATTTTATAAAAAGTATTTGTTAAAATATTATACTTAACAATTTTATAAATTTAAAAGCAGATGTGGTTGGGGGTTAGTGTGGGTGCGTGGTTTGGGGGCACAGCTTAAATTCTCACTATTCAATTCAAACCAAAAGTTGGCAGCACTGGTTTACGTTTAAAAAAATCAAAAGGCATAATTAAATAAAACGTAAAATGATTATTATTTTGATGGATAAAACAAGAACAGCGCACTATGTTTACAAATAAATGTAAAATATTAATATTGATTGTAGTGTATAGCTTAAAATTATTAGACAGACATTTAAGCTGCATGGAACACATAAAATTGTTGTTGCTGTTTTAAACTAAACCACACATTAAACAATGACTTAATCTCAATTTAATTTCTTAAAACTTAATTTTAAAGTCAATCTGTTTTATTTATCTTCTGTAAGAGAAGGGTTCCAACTCACCCAGTCACTCTTATTAGTGTCATAACTCTGTAATTATTATTATTATTATTATTTCATCGATTTCAGTTAATAGGTGCACATATCAGAGGGGGATTTCAATGGTCACAGTATTATAGTGTTACACCGGCAACATTCTTCAGTGTTTCTTGTGTCTTGTTTTATTTTGTTTTATGTTCAACTAAGGTAAAGAAGGGGTGGAGAGAAAATGATGGCAAAATTTTCATTATAGGGTGATTATCCCTTTTAATGCGTGTCTGTTGTATGAATTTGTCGTCATATAAGTAAAAACATGACATTTTTTAATTTGGTAAAGGTAAAAAAAAACATTAATCAAATATTTTGAAATGTGACACCAGCGTGTTTACCACCAGGAGGCGCTGCTGCATCATTCATAACCATATGCGCCCGAACTTTGTAACCAGTAACACGAGAACTTTTTTTGGGGACATACTGTTCGGGATTTGGGACATACAGTATATGCAACATCAACTTCAGTCGTCTGGATGGAACGAAGAGATGAATATTAAGTCGGTGTTGTGAAGGTGTGTGAGCTGAATCTTAATCTTTGTTTGGGTTGCTGTTGTTTTGCTGCTCATGTGATACTGTTGTTACGCTCTATGGCACAACGGTTTCTTATAACGGAAAGAAACTGACGGACAACTCAAGCTTTTAAAGTTTACCATAACTATTTTATTTGTAGACGTTATAGTTTGTAGTTTCTAGGAGAAATGTAATGAGATAATACGCCTTACTTGCACGTTAGCGGTTTCAGGAAGAGTGTCTGGGACTAATGCAGGATTGCAGACCCTTGCATTCAGTTTCCGCCGAAATGCCACTGTTATTGTATTGTAGCATTCATCGCTATTCGCCAACAATGTTATAAACAAAGACACATTATAATAAAAACGTTTAACAAGTTATACAGATACAAATGCTATCTAAATCCAAACACCACAAGCATTAAAGCCACAAAAGACGTAAAGAAAAAAGTTATATGAATACCAAAATTACGTGTAACGTTAACTTATAGCAAGCCACAACTGTCATGAAAGCAAATTAAACATAATACAACGGTTATTACTAAGACTTACTGAAATAACTGAAAATACCGCACGATTATTACAGCTGTTACTTACAAACTGTCATACAGCAAGCACAAACACTTGATTGAACATGTAAACACAGTACATCACCTATAGACCATTTCAATGTGGTCATGTCATTGGCCCATTAACGTACTTGTTGTGAAACTATTTCATAACTGTATCAAGAAGCAATTAAATTAAAACTTTATGTTAAAACCGCTATCATAACATTATTTATTAATATGTGGCTCTTCTTGGTTTCTCAAAAGCTAGAAGTGTAAAATGTATAAAGCATAAACTTGAATTGACATATTATAATAAAAGTAAAAATGGCAAAATTACTGCAGCCAACAACATCATAAAACAAATAACATAATCACTAGTTATTAGTCAAAAATGTTGTAAAGGTGAGAAAAAAAAGAGCATACATATAAAGAAACATTTTTTTTATTATTTCTGCATGTCATTTGGGGTGTAATAATTATGCTATTTTTGCTTTGTTTCTATATGATAATTTTTGCCAATAGCTGTGATTACTGTTATCTTATTAACATTGTACACACACTTCCAAGTTTGGGGTCAGTAGGATTTTTAAATGTTTTAAAATAAGCTTATCCTGCTCACCAAGGCTGCATTTATTTAATAAAAAATGCAGTACAAATTGTGAAATACTATTGCACTAAAAATAACTGTTCTAAACTAGTTTACAATTTTAATTATTAAAGTGATTTTAAAGATGATTTTTATTACTCCAGTCACATTAGAGTAACACGATCCTTCAGAAATCACTATAATAATATTATTATTATTATTAATGTTATATGTTTTAGTAATAAAGGCAATAATACTGGAGTAATTTTATTTGAAACTAAATACAATAAGAAAGCAGCTTTTTGAATTTTTTATGAATATTTAACAATTTATTTTTACATTTAATAAAAGCTATTAGCCATATATCCTAAAAATATAAATAAGAAAAAATGTTTGCTACAGTTTTAGGCGTATTAGCTGAAGCAATAATAAACATAGGAAAATAATACTATTATATAAACAGACAACACTCAAATAAATTACTTTTGCTGTTTATTCAAAGTATGTATGTAAAATTAGATGAAACAACACAGTTTTTTTGGGGGGACAACTTAAATATTTGTTCCATCCACTCAAATTTGTAAAAAAGATTAACCTAACTTAATAGATTTGTTTTGGGACAACATGAAGAATCTACATTTTTAACAGTGAAAAATAATGAGAAATAATAATAAGTTTTAAAAAGCTGTTTGATATTTTAATTAAAACATATTTAAAATTAAACAATTAATTAATACATATAGTATTATTAGTAATATTAATTATAATAATAAAGTTAAAATGATATCAAAGTACAACAAACACATGCATTTTTTTTATGCAACAGATGAAAATCAATTGAGCCGAGCATTTTTATATTAGTGATTTAAGCATATATACACATTATTTTAAGGTGAACTCAGCAGAAATAAATAAATAAAAATAAATAGTCATGCATTGTTCAGTAATAGAGAAATAGCTTAACCACATAAAAAATAAAAAATTCCCAGAGGCCGTACATTTGATTACATCATTGTCCTCTGTTTTGGCTTCTTGCTTTAAGGACTTGTTCAGATGGCCGGCCCCATAGACTGACAGGCAGACAGACGGGACAGCAGAGATGATGGAAGGTGCTTGGGACGTCGCTTTCGTGCTTCTCCATGTGTGGATGTCCATAGTAGCGGGTCTCATCGTGTTACCTGCTATGTTCGGTGTGTCCCTGGGCTTCACAGACATCTACATCAAGCTGCTGGTTAAGACACTTGAGGTAAAAAAAAGAAATACAAATAACTATTGCTTACAATGTATAAAACAAAACAAAAAAAGATAGTTGCTCATAATATGTGAATTAAATCCATGTGCAAACTTAAAAAAGAAAAAAAGTTTTGTACTTTGACATATTAGAAACAGATGATGCCAAGACAAACTTGCAAAAGAGGGTCAAAAGGCATGAGACTAAAATAAACGTCATTGTCCGGGGATTTTGTTTTTAGTATTAAAATCTGATAGTCAATTCATTAGTAGTCTGAATGTGGCATGCATTGTGTTGCATAAAACAAGCCAGAAATGAATACCTCAACTAATGTAAATAAATTAATAGTTATCACCATACCCAGCTGAATGATTACAGTTATGAAATACATAGCACAAAAATCTCAACACGGAATGAAAATAGGTTCAAATTTACTTTACGTAACACTTTAGTTTAAGTCACAGTTAAATTACTATTAACTTCTGGCGTATTACCTGCCTATTATTGCATTATTAACTGTTCATTAGTAGTTATAAAGTATGATTTTATTCCAAATCTTCAATCCCACCCCAAATCTAAAACTAGCTTCCACCTTACTAGCCATTAATAAGCAGCTAATTAGCAGTTTATTGAGCTAATAGTCTTAGTTATAATGGTTTCTTGATAGCATGAACTGTGACTTCAACGAAAGTGCTACCAATAAACCAATACATTTTAGAGGCACACAATTTTACTGGGAGGATTTTTGGTTTCTCCGGGTATTATAACTCCATAAATACTGTAATCAGCCAGAAAAATTATGATAAATGTTGTATTTATTTTTAAAATCCGTAATTAGGCAAAATGTGTATGGACATAGTCACCGGTAAAAACATTATAGACTATATAGGTGTATGTCAGTGCTGCTGAAGTGTTAAGCTTATCACTAGCTCATTACTACTAATTAGCTGCTTATTAATAGTAAGTAAGGTAAAGGTTGGGTTAGTTTTGGGTATGGATAATGGATGTAGAATAAGATCATACTTTATAACTAATAATAAACAGTTATTATCTTAATAATAAGCAGGTTATAAGCCAGTTGTCATGGTCCTGACCTGACAGTCTTGTCTGTCCTGTCAGTGTTTAATGTTTGCTTGTTTGTCCTGTGCATATTTACATTGCTAAGTCTTAATTTGTGTTGGCCATGTGCTCCTCTTGTCTTTCCTCCTTGCTTTCAAATACCCCGCCCTCTTATTTAGACCTTGTTATCCTGATTGTTTTCACCTGTCTCCTGTGTGCTTTGTTCTATATAATGTGCTGTGTGTTCTCATTTCTTTGCTGGTTCGTTCCATGTGAGCTTGTCTTGTATCCTTGCCTTGCATCTGTACTAAGCTTTTGGTCTTGCCTGTTCTAGATCGCTTGTCTATTTATTGTTTGTTTGTAGCTATTACTTTCTTTCGTTGTTTCTAGTGTTTACTTTATTTTGTGTTCTAATCTTTATTTTACTTTTACCCTTAGAGCCATTGTTCCGTTTTTCTGTCAGTCCCAGTCTTCTTAGTAGATAATTATTAGTAGTTGTTTGATTTGTTTAATTACTCTCTTTAAGATTCTAAAAGTCTTTATTTCAGTTTTGTTTTATCAGATTGCTAAAGTCTGTCTTTCTGTCTTCTAGTATTTAGATTTTATTTTATCATATTGTATATTATCACTGTCTGTTTGTTGTCCTGTCTTGTGTCTTATAATTTTACAGTCCTATTCCGTGTCCTGACCTCCCTGGTCTGATAGTCTGGAGTTTAGGTGGCCTGCTCCAGGATCTAGATCTGGTTTTGACCACTGTTGCTCCTACTCCTGGCTGGCTGTTCATTTTAGTACTATCTTGTCACTTCCACTGGCTTCCTTGTGTTGTTGCCCCTACCGTTTGGACCTTATCATCCCCCTGTATGTCTACTTGCGCCTTATTCTGTCAACAAACCCCTTTGTATTGTTTATTGCTGCAACTGGGTCTGTTTTCTTGCATTCAAACGCGACACCAGTAGCGTGAATTGTGACCTAAATTGTTACTGAAAACGTTTGAGAAAACAGCATTTGTTAAGTGTATTGTAATAGAAATTTGATAAAGAGCCAAAAATTTATTGGATGTATTTTGGATGTTTTGTTTTTACATGAAACTTATGAAAATCATGTCAAAACAAACTTGCAAATGAGGGTCAAAATGAATAAAACCCAGCCATATCATGACTATTACATGGGAAACATCACTTGTTTATGTATTGTTGTCAGAAAAGTGGCCAATTCATACAAATTCATGTAATTTCAGTTGTGTGAAAACATATGAAAATGTATGGCATGCCCCCAAACCCCAGCCATCATTGCGGGATAAGCAAATCTTACTAAAATGTACTGATAAGATTATATACATTAATTCAAAATTCACGACTGATTAAAAAAAGTTACAAATTGTCATGAGATTGTTGAATAAAACCCATTATTGTCAGTTAAGGAAACGTGTCAAAGGTTACCTGAAAATAAACTTGTTCTTTATTCCAGTGGGCCACTCTCAGGATCCAAAGAGGACAGAAAGAACAGCCAACACTGCCATTACAGCTAGCTAACGGTGAGAGAAAATCTGTCAATGCAAGCAAGACATCATGTGCATACAAAGGTTTGATTTCATGATGATGTTAGGACAGTGTCATGTGAAGCCACAGCTTCCTCTTCATTTTGTTGAGGACAACTGTTAGATAATAATTAACATGTCAGATTTAATTTGCTCCTTTTGTTGTTTAGTGTTAGCATTGTAAGTGAATTGATATGACTACAAAAGTCCCCCTTTGATTTTTTCTTTTTTTAATATTTCCCAAAAGATGTTTAACGGAGCAAGGAAATTTTGACAGTATAAAATGAAGTATTTAGTCTAAAATATTTTTTCATCTGGAGAAAGTCTTATTTGTTTCATTTCGGCTAGAATAAAAGCAGCTTTAAATTTTTTTAAAACCATTTTAAGGTCAAAATTATTAGCCCCTTCATTTCGGTTAATTTTGCCAACCGACAACTGCTGCTTGTTAACCGAATGTTAACGGATCAATATAACATTATTATTTTATTTTAAAAATATGAATTAATGTGTCTATTTTGTGTCTGACACATTAAATATTGCATTTTAAAATCCTGATTTATTTTAACATGTGAACAACAGCATACAGAACATACGGAGATACTGTATCATTATCAAGTCGTTGGATTTGTCGGATTTGTAGATTAGGCTATGTAAGCTATTTTTAAAATGGATATTTTATAAGAACTACACTATAAACTGTAATTTTTCAAATGGAAAAAGTTGGTTTGTTGGTTGTACACTAAATCTTACTTTTTTGTCCAATTGTGTAAATAAACGGAGGTGTTTATGTCTCGGATCCAAGAGAGAGGCATCACCATCAGCACTGGTTTGGCATCAACTTGTCTGTGTCAAACTGTGACCAGCAATGTCCTTTTATTTTGCTTCTCTGGCAAAAATAGGTCTGTAGGCATGTGTGGTTGCATGTGTTACACCATCCCGTGAGTTAACAAATATGTGTTGCACATTTATGCAGCCAAACTTAAAAAAAAAAAAAACCCAGCAATAATAATATTTTTAAATCGTTTAACTGATACCATCAATTGGTTAAAAACGCACCCTTTCGGTTAACGGTTAATTGGTTATTATGGGCATCCCTAAAAGAAACAAAAGAGGTTTTAGTTCTATCCTTAGTTCTATCTTCCTGTTTAGTTGACACTTTTCAAATAGAGAAGGAAAATAATGTCCTTGCTTTTGTTATTGGCCTGATGCCTGTCAGTGTGTTTAACCTACTGTAACTGCTATTGCAGCAAGTGACACATTTCATAATTTCAGTTGAGCTTATTTATGAACTTTACCCAGCTTTACAGACATTTTAGGTTGTATGAATCATGACCTCAAGACACTTTTGAAATAAAACTCTGACTGGACAAAAAAAGAGTCTTTTTTATTTAAGTAAAAGTCAAAAACTTAGGATACTGATGACTCTAGATGTTTATCGCAGCTTTCTTATGCAGTGTGTTGCACAGAATTCTGTACATTAGATGAAGGCCAACGAGAAACGAGGTTTCTTTTTGACATTGCAGCGAGACGTTGTTACAAAAGGCATTTTGGGATTCCTTTTTCACCCCAACAGTTTTGTGAAATAAAATGCACTGTATAATAATCAGGCAAATTATGTAGAAAAAAATCCTTCCGTAGAAAAACACTTCAAAATATATAGATATAAAAAAACTAATGTTTGCCATATGTAGGTTTCTGTTTTGACTTGTCTCATTTCAAATTCAACATGTGTTTTATAGGGATCATCGAGAAAGATGACGGATCTATGGAAGAGGAAATTGTAGAGCTGCGTCGCTCTCATCCTAAAAATCTGGCAGAGGGAAACTTTACGCTGTGTGACGCCTTCTATTTCTGTAAGAAAGGCATTGAGAACATTGTGGAGGATCAGGTGACTCAGCGCTTCTCTTCTGAGGAACTGGCCTCCTGGAATCTCCTCACACGAACCAATAACAACTTTCGATACATCAGCGTGCGCCTCACCATCATATGGGGCCTGGGAGTTTTTGTACGTTACTGTGTCTTATTGCCTCTCAGGTGAGTGCTATTTCCAATTGAAAAGACATGTTTTATGCTATGATATGATCATCAAGGATGTATTCAGTTGATCAAAAGTGACAGAGAAGACTTTAACACTGTTGCAAAGCCAACTTGTATTCATCAAAACATGCTTAAAAAGTATTATTATATATTACAGCACAATATTACTGTTTTACAATTATATTTATCAAATAAATTATAAGGCAGCAAGAGACTTATATATAAAGATATACAGACTACTCTCTACTACTCTGTTTCTCTGGATTTACAATTTATACTGATGTTTGAGTAAAATACTTTTTTTTTTCAATTAATTTTTTTTTCTGTAAAGTCCTGATAAGATTACTTATAATTTAATTTAAATTAGCTTAAATAACAAATATATGCTATATTCTGACATGTTTATAATTATTTTTGGACAAAACAATGCCAATGTTTAAAAAATATATATATATATATAAATAAAAAATATTTTAATATGATGGCTATTCGGTTGTTTGCTTAAATAAAAAAAAAAAAAATAAAAAAAAAAAAAAATATATATATATATATATATATATATATATATATATATATATATATATATAAATTAATTAATTATAAAAATAAACAAATAAATAAAAGTGCCTTAAATTGCAATACATTTGTGTGAAATTAGGAAGAAATGCTTTCAGACCTTTATAGAATATTACAAATATTAATATTTTACTCAAAGTTATACCTATTAAATGCAGATGAACTGAGAATTTTCAGTTTTCTATTTTTTCTAAGTGTTTTCCTAATTTCTCCTCAGCTGCAAACAGTATAAACTTGCATTGTCAAATCATTTTCTTTATACTTAAGTTAATCTCTTGCTCCTAGTTCTGATTATTGTGACCTGTAAATGTCAGCTAAATGTTTTTTTGAGTATATTAAATCATGCTATTGTTCTTTGTCATAGGATCACTTTAGCAGTCATTGGATTGAGCTGGTTGGTGATTGGAACTACTCTAGTTGGATTTCTTCCAAACAGCAAGTAATTAATACTGGATGTCATTATGAATGATATAATGTTGTTTTAATCTTACAGACCAATTGAATAATCCATAACACTTAAAAAATAAAAGCTCCACAACTGGTTTTCATAGAAATGTCATACAGTAAAACCTTTTAACAAATAACCAATAAAATATATTATTAATAAATATATAAGGTTCTTTGTGGAACCATAAATTATAATTCAGAACCTTTATTGTTGTGTACAATAACTTTAAGTTCTCTCAAGTCCAAACTGTTTGCTATATATTGGTGAAATGCTTAATTTCCTAAAGGGAAGGTCTGTCTTTTGCAGGGTGAAGAACTGGCTCAGTGATTTAGTTCATATTACATGCTACAGAATATGTGCCAGAGGCCTGTCTGCTACTATCCGTTATCATAATAAGTGAGTCACTGCTTCTTTTTTTAACACAGTCTTTCCACTTTAATCCCATTATATCACTGTGTTCAGTTCCCCTCTGCTTCTCAGTATTCTTCACATTCGCTTTATCTCTCATGCATGCAAATGTAAAACAAATACCCAAACAGTTGACTAAAACATTAAATATTATTCACTGTGGGACTTTTCTAAAAGTATTTAAAGGTGCAGTATGTAAGTTTGACACCCAGTGGTTTACAGATAGAGGACATGAGTGAGTGATTTAAACCGTGTTCTAAATTAAAGCATTGGCATATGATAAAAGGAATATTTTCCATATTAAAAGGAGTTTTTGTCCTAACCAACACCTCAAATTGATATTTTAGAAATGGCTTTTATTTCTCACATGTGAACAACAGAAAACCTGTGCTTCATTCAGTGTTAAATGCTAACAATGCTAGTTTAAATACCATTTTACATGACATGTATTGCCATACTACTGAAAGCAGCAGCAGATAGTTCACCTCAGATCTTGAAATAAACCTTTATAAACCATTATAAACCTTTCCATTTCGTGAGTGAATGCATATTCTGTGCTTCTGAAAGGCTGTATTTATTGTATTTGTATGACTGGTGCAAACAGCCAAATTGCTCATCACTTTGTATCTCCTCATGAAGCGTGTTGTTTGGACACACGGGGTTACAATGTAACTTTCTTACCAAATGTTTATGTTCGTAATATTTATATTATTTGCTAATTAATAACCTCATGTGGAATCTGCGTCTCATTTTGGAGTCTGCTGTTGTCCAGTGGAGGTCGCATTTCTCTTATGGACACATGCTTTGAGAGCCTTTCTGAATGAATGAATTAAATATGTAGTTTTCCATCAAGGCAACCCGGTAAAATAAAATAAAATAAATTAAAATAAAATAAAATAAAATATAATATAATATAATATAATATAATATAATATAATATAATATAATATAATATAATATAATATAATATAATATGGCAGCATTGGGCAGGTTAAAATTACCATAACAAAGTCGGAAAACACATTTTCAAAGCAGAAAATCTGACTTCAGGATTGTTTTTCAGATAAAAAAGAATTTTCACTTGGCATGTTTCTTAAATGTCTTCAAACTTATGGTATTTTATGCTTTAGAAGAGTCAAAAACTTACATATAGCAGTTTTAAGTTAATTATTTTAAGTATTTTTAAGTATTTAAGTATACTTTAGGTAACATTGCATATTTTTACAGCACTTTTGGGTACGTTTAGAAAGTAAAACTGCTCCCGATTTATGTGGGTCTTAAAAAGTTTCAATACACTGTTTTAAGGCCATAAGAAAGAAAGTCTTTTGGCCATAAATGTTAAATGTTTCCAGATATGAAATATTTGGCAAATATCTATTGTTTTAACCTTTGCATCTTCTCCCCGTGTTGGCGTGGGTTTCCAAGTCCAAAGACAAGCGCTAAAGGTGAACTTAATTAATTGTCCATAGTGAATCAGTATGTGTGTGAATTAGTGTGTATGGGTGTTTCCCAGTACTGGGTTGCGACTGGAAGCATGCACTGTGTAAAACATAAGCTGGATAAGTTGCCAGTTCATTCCGCTGTGGCAACCTCTAAAACAGAGACTAAGCCGAGGGAAAATGAATGAATATTGTTTTAACCATATTCTCACTTTGTTTTGATCAGTTTCAAAAGATTTTACTGTATCTCATCTAATTTTTATTTCCAAGGAAACCTTGATAAACCCTGCAAACAATGACTAAATGCAAAATAGCATTTGTTTATTTAAAAAGCAGCTATGTGGCTTACAGTGTATTTAAGAGCATGACATTGAGAGATGCCATTCTCGGCCAATGCAAACACACCTTTTTTTCTCTTCAACACTCCTTAATATATAGTGTATAGTTTGATGATTGCTGTTACTTACATTTGTCTCATGGGATGCATAACAGAGAGAACCGTCCGAAAAAAGGAGGCATCTGTGTTGCCAACCACACTTCCCCGATTGACATTGTCATCTTGGCGAATGATGGATGTTACGCTATGGTGAGTCACGCCGACTGCATCACCAGTGTGACATTGCGCGTCTGCAGAAGGTCTCAGGTGTCTTTAACTGGCTTTCATTCTCCTCAGGTAGGTCAAGTTCATGGAGGCCTCATGGGGGTCATCCAGAGGTCAATGGTGCGCTCCTGTCCCCATGTATGGTTTGAGAGGTCTGAGATGAAAGATCGCCATGCCGTTGCCAAAAGGTGTGTTGATTTGTCTTGTGGAAATATAATATATCTCCTCATTCACAACATAAAGCACCGCTTCTGCTTTTTTCCACAGGTTGAAAGACCATATTTCAGATAAAACTAAGCTGCCAATCTTGATCTTCCCTGAGGGTAAAAAAAACTTACATTTGTGTGATTATACAGGTCTATAATGTATTGTATATAATAGCAATTCTGCCAATTAAACCAATTCATTTGTTCAATCTCTTTAAACGTTATTATACTTACAAAATTACAAAAAAAAAATTCTCTGACCAAATTCTGTAAATATGAACAAATTGACTTTGATGCTGACAATACACTCCAAAAATGTAATGTGACAGAGACAAGTTTAACAGTGTCACATTTCCCTTTACAGTATTTAACTGTTTGCCAGCAAGCATTTATTTGTGCCTAAGTAACTAGTGATGTGGATAATATGGATATCTCCGATACCAGCTTTGTATGTTGTAGAATCGATTATCTTATCAAAATATCGATACTTCAGTAATTTGGAGCAAATTTGTAGTTAATTAAAAATAGAAATACAGCTTAAAGTAACCAAAATTACCCTGGTTTATCTGAATAATGGCAACTTAGTTGGAACTACTTGTTTTTGTGACAATGATAAAGCAATGGAAAAAGGTTAAAAATCTTGAAGGGGACCGGATTAACATGTCACTAAACCAAAAGGTGTGAATGTTTATTGTTTTATGTTAAGATGTTCAGGCAGGCTTTTTAAGATATACATGCTCAGAAATGTAATATGTAAGTTGATTTTTTTTGTATGATAATTCTTCATCAATATATAATCAACAAGAATAACCCATAATATGTCTCGTATTCAGTATATAGTGACACTTTCAAGCACACTACTTGTTACTTTAATTTCTCTAACAGTCATTTTGGGCAAAGTATCGGATCGGCATCGCTGATACTCGCCTTCATTTTACTTGGTATCGGATCACATAGGAAACCAGTGGGATCGCACATCACTATAAGAGACATCCAAACAAAGACGTTCTGGCTAAAACCAGGCTAAATCAGTGAAAGTTTAATAGATAAAAGTCTAATAGATAAATGTTAAAAAAAGTTAACAAACTAGACTCGATTTACATTCCCAACATTTTCTGGATTGGAATTCCTAAAGTCCCTATTGTTTGTCTTTGTGTTGATTCCAGGAACTTGCATTAATAATACATCAGTCATGATGTTCAAAAAGGGAAGCTTTGAATTTGGTGGAACTATATACCCAGTAGCAATCAAGGTAACAAATGCCGGTGACAGTGAGTGTTTTTCTGCAGAATGTAGTATAGTGGTTACTCTCAGAATGGCCTCTGACGTTCAGCTCTTTTTCAGTATGACCCTCGCTTTGGAGATGCCTTCTGGAACAGTGCCAAATACAACATGGTGAGCTACATCCTCAGAATGATGACAAGCTGGGCCATTGTGTGCAACGTGTGGTACCTGCCACCTATGACTCAACAGGTAACAAACATTCATCTCGTCCTTTCTACAAACCACTTGTTCATATATTAGTAAGTGGGGATGCTCACGCCAGAAATTTGATAATTGAGAAAAACTATTTTTTGCATATCACAAAAGACATTGTCTGCCTTTTTTTATTTATAAAAGAAAACCAAAGAAGTCAATTTTTTCCTACAGACATGTACATGTATTCCCTTAAATATATATATATATATATATATATATATATAATGCTGATACAATATTCTCTGTTTTCTAATGAAAACAACAGTCAAGAGCTGTAGTGTATCTGAGTGATTCAAAGGCCCCGTTTACACTGTCAGTTAAATGTGACCCAATTCTGATTTTTTGCTCAAATGTGACACAGATCGGATCAGTTCTATGACCGTGTAAACAACAAAAAAATGCATGCATTCGGATATTCAGAGATCGGTTTCAGGCCTCCTTCATATGTGAAAATAAATCAGATATAGATCGGATATGTGACAATGCGACTGTCATGTGAACAGGTAGATCAGATTTATTGAGGCATTCCGTTCTGTACATCATCAAACTTGCGACAATGTGGTGCTTCTCCACGGTTTAAGGATGTAGAAGGAAGAGCGTGTGTGGAGATGCCGACATGGTAAACTACATCAGAAGAAACACAGAGGAGGAAAGTGGTCAGTCGCCACAATTTGCTCCCAACAGACCTGAGGTCTCTCTCGTACCCACAAATTCCTCTGAATAGTGGAGGACATCATAAAGCATATAAACCATAAGCGCATACTGCGATGACGGCTCTTTCCCACCTCCTTCGCCTCAAAATCATTTTAAAGTTGGGTAAACTTCGTGTTGTAACTTTTGCTTTTTGTCGCTGTTAATATACGCACTGCGGGCTACACAGAGAATAACTTTATTCTCTCTAACATCAGTGCGCACACAGGCAAAGGCTACATCTTCAACCACACACACACACACACACACATCAGGGCCATACCATTACTGCATAGGGGTAAATCTGGACTAAACCATTCACTGCTTATACTACACTTCGCGTATTTTGCAGAGCTAAAAACAAGACAGTTTCTTCCATCGTGGCTAGTGTGGCACAGATCCTAGAATCCGCCTTTTTGCATGTGCAACATCATAAGTTTTATGGCAAGTGTAAACGCATGAAATGGATATGGGTCACAATTAAAACAACATGTAAACAGATAGGCAAACAAATCAGATATAGGCAGCAAATCGGAATTGAGCATCAAGACCTGACAGTGTAAACGGGGCCAAAGATTCAATGTCCCATTTCATAAAGAGAGTCATGACAAATGAACACACCATCTAGTGGCAATTATTTTTTTTAGGTGCATCATTTTATTTAAATAATTTAATATTTACGCATAAATAATGAAACAAAGTGAACAACCTGCACATTGTTTAAAAAAACTTGCCTAATTTTTTTTTGCCTAAATATCAGATATTTTGAAGAATGTTCACATTAACCATAACTTAAAATGTTTATGAAATGTAAAATCTCAGATAAATTAAAATTTCATTAATTTGCTATTAATTCTATGAATTAATTGTAACATTATATGATAATTATGTAAGTTTTGATGACATTTCAGTCATTGTAGATATGTCTAAACTTTAATTGCATGAAAAATATTTGAACATGTCTTTTGTAGGATGGAGAGGATGCTGTTCATTTTGCTAACAGAGTGAAGTCAGCCATAGCACATCAAGGAGGACTGGTGGATTTGTCCTGGTAAGAATATAAACATCCCTATACAATGTATAGTGTTCCATGTCGTGCTATATACAGTAATATAAATTATAATGAATAAACTAAATGTTTAAAATGGCCAACAAATGGCCAATAAATCACAATTACAAATTGCTATAGGTTATGTATATTTGCCATAGATAAAGCATTGTTGTTGTGTTGCAGGGATGGAGGACTGAAGAGGTCAAAGGTGAAAGAATCATTCAAGGAGGAGCAGCAGAAGATGTACAGCAGTATGATTGTAGGTTTGGACTCTCACGAAGCCACTGTTGGACCCGCGTAAATCGTAAAAACTATTTATAAACTTGATCGGAATGGGAGAAACACTTCTAGATCAGCCACCGAACACCATGACTGGCACAATATGATGTTCTGCTTTTTGATTCAGTGATATATATTTTTGTAAAACTGGAAAATGTTTCCTAGTGATTTGAACTTGTGTTCATAAATCCAAAAAAATGTGATGACACACAGTAGTTAGTAACTAGAACACATTTGTCACTTTGTTCTTAATCGTTTGGGTGCTAATATATGTAGTTTCTCTCTCTATAGATTTGCATGAGAAATATTCACTTAGTGCATGTTCATATTGTATTCCTGTTACATGACTTCTTAAAGATCTTCCAGAATGTAAGCTACTGTGGCAAGTAGTACTATGGGACGTAAACAACTTATTTCAGTATATAATTTATGAGTCAACATTGCAAGAAGTACTAGTATCTAACGAATAAGTACTATTATTTATGTGGTAACATTTTACAGTAAGGTTGTATTGGTTAATGTAAGTTAATGCATTTCTAACTTGAACAAATAATGAACAATGCATTTATTACAGTATTTGTTCATGTTAGTTATCTGAACAAATTTAAAATTCAAATGCAAAATTCAAAATTAGTTATCTTAACAAATTCAGAAATTTAGATTTTGGCTTATAAAAATTACGATTTGTTAAATTACAATTTTCCATAATTTAGATGAACACAATTCAAATTCAGATTGTTTTGGCAAATTATTATTAGCTCCATACACCAACTCGTACTGTACTGAACCGTACTGCTCAGTGGGAACAAGGCATAATAAAATCATCTAACCGATAAGTACCAAGTAAGTGCCTATTTAATAGGCTCTAGTGTCTAATAAAGGATAATTAATATCTAATAAATAAGCACTAGTAGCATTCGAATAAGTATTGAGTATTAAAATACTAGTACACAGAACAAATGTTTCCAGCTTGCCACAGAGCTGCACAGGCTTTTCTCAGGTCTGGTGGGCTGTTCCTGTGTGGACACTAGAGGTCACTGTTACCAAACTAAAGAAAACCCGCACCACACTGGCCAGCTCACTATCATCTTTCCTAATAAAATGCTGAAATTAAATAATCGCCTCTCAAAGCATTTTTTTTTTATTTTATTTTATATGGTATCCTTTAATAGTATCACTCTTATCCCCAAAACCTAAAACAAGCACATAAAAAAACACAATTCCATTAAGGCCAACAGGCTCTTTTCAGCCCTCTGAGAAAAGGCAAATCTGTCTCCTTTGTGTCAATTAGTGATGGGTGATGCACAAAGCCCCATCGAGCCCTTGATTGCAGGAGCACCAGCTCATTTTACTTGGAGCTCCATTGAAACGTCCGCCATTATAAAGTCATTAGGACAGAAAGTGGACAGAAAGTTTCCCCGCGCAAGGCTGCAGTCACGGCAAATTCCAAGAGGAGACGCTGAGCAATATGTGCTTATACTGCGATGGCGCTTTAATAAAGAAAGCATAGAGTGTGAAATAGAACATAGTTATTCTGTGGCACAGAGGGCTGGAGGAGGCTTAGCTTTCTCTCTCTCTCATCCCCCAGACGATCCTCCGGCCCCCGCCAAAGCCAACAGCGGCCTTTAATAACAGTCCTGCAACTTAAATTGCTTGAACAGAAATGTTTGTTCTCCCCTAACAGGATTGTAAATTATTAATCGGATCTGAAGCCGATTTTATAACCCGATTGTTGAGGTGGGATTCTCCACGAGCAGTGCTCTGGCACACCATTTACTGTGATGTATGTGTCTGCACATCTTTATATCCAATTTAATGTGATTCGGATAGATTTCAAAGCGACATCATAAAAAGCATGGAAGTGACCCCGGCAGAGCCTCCGATGTAGAGTCGGTGCGTCAGGCGGCCACGTCTCTGGCTTCTGATTCGATTTTCCCCATTTCTGTTTTTACCCACCATGTGATCTATACAAATGTAATGCCGGTACACTCAGTAAATATGAATAAATCGCTAAATTAGATCATTTTGCTGGAGAATGTAGTTCAAGCGGGACATGATTTTAAATCACGCTTTGCCTGGAACTGACTGGCGTACCTAATCAGAAGGGTAAATGACCCCGCTTTCTGCCCACGACCTGCCATTAGTTAGAGCCCCATGTTTTTTAAATACATTGTTCTGCCATCTTTTGTGCGACTCGAGTGCACCTCCTGCACTAATGCATGAGATCTTGAGGTACAATACGTCTCGCAGGGGAAAATCAATAGAGGAATGCAGGACCAAGTCTCTGCAGACTCGCTCTTTTTCTCCAAAAGCTCACCGTGAGTTTCAGGGCTCCATTAATGCTGCTTTATTCCTGTCATATCTTTTTGTTTGTGCACTTTAGATACCTGCAGGATTACTTTAGTGTCACTGATGCTATTATAGTTTTTATAAATAGTAGGTGATTTTTTAGTTTGTATGCAGTCTATGTAAATGAAAATGGAATTAGCTATATTATCATCTGTCATCAATATTCCAAGATAACTTGCTTTAGATTTTTTATTAAACTTAAAATAAAACATTACTGTTGATTTGGAAGCAAACTGCTAATTTAATAATTTCTTTGCCTTAGCATTTTTCAATCTTGTTTACATTTTTCTGGTTTGAGAAGTGCATTTTACCATTATCTATTATTATCTATTTTTTATTCGAATTATCTTAATGAACTCCAGGTTAAGTGTTCAATTGAATTAGTTTTAACAGGGTTCATACACATTTTTACTACAAAAATTCCATGACTTTTCCAGGACTTTTAAGTCCATTTTCATGGCCTAATGTTTCATGTAGGTGACACAGTGGCGCAATAGGTAATGCTGTCGCCTCACAAGCAACAGGTTTGAGCCTCGGCTGGGTCAGTTGGCATTTCTGTGTGGAGTTTGCATGTTCCCGCCCTTGTTCGCGTGGGTTTCCTCCGGGTGCTCCGGTTTCCCCTACAGTCCAAAGACGTGGTACAGGTGAATTGGGTAGGCTAAATTGTCCGTAGTGTATGAGTGTGAATGAATGCGTATGTTTTGAATGAATGTTTCCCAGAGATGGGTTGCAGCTGGAAGGGCATCCGCTGTGTAAAACATATGCTGGATACGTTGGCGGTTCATTCCACTGTGGCAATCCCAGATTAGTAAAGGGACTAAGCAGAAAAGAATACATATACGTTGTAAATTATAAGAATTAAACAGGGTTCATACACATTTTTACTACAAAAATACCATGGCTTTTCCATGGAACGTTTAGATTTATCACAGCATATCATAAAACACGCAACAACCTCTTTAGTTTTAATTTATTTTTATATCCATGTAAAATAGATGATGCTTACACAGCACAAATGATGTGAGACCATGTTTTGGCCAAGAAAAGAAGTAAAAATATCTAACCTTCATTCCAGCATACAGATATTTGTCAAACTAAGTTTAGATGTTGTTAATAGTTTGTTAAACTAGTAATAGTAGGTAAAACTACTTCTATTGTAAAGCAGCGATCACACTGCACTTTTCGTTCCATAGACTTCCTTTTATAGGTGTGCGAATGTGGCAGACCAGAAACGCAAGCACGTGTGACAAGTTTCACATTTCACTGCATTCGAAAGGTCAAGCATGTTGAATTTTTACCTGTGAAATCGCATCATGTGATTGCATTAGACCAATAGAAGGTAGTTAAAAATAAAATTAAACTATGGAGCAATCGCTTACTTTCAATAACATCTTATCATATTGTTTGATACCACCTCTTTTCATAGTGCCATATGACAGAATTTCACAAGGACAAACTCTAGTGTGACTGCAGCTTAAGTCGCTTTGAACAAAAATGTCTGCTAAATGACTAAATGTAAATGTAATTTTCATGACTTTTACCTAAACCTTGTTTTTCCAAAGCTTTTCCAGGCCTGGAAAATGCCATGTGAAAACTCCATTTTGACATGAACCCTGTTTTAATATTATTTGTCGGTACTGAGTATTTCGAGAAAAAGTGTGCACAAGCGGACCCAATAAATACACTTTTATAACTCAATCCCTTAAAACTGATTCACCGTTGGAATGCATCAGCTAATTTTACCTCCTTTTATTGTTTCGTTTCTCTTAAAACGATTAATTTGTGGTGTTTTTCCTATTTAGGTCTTACTTTGGTTTGTCTACGATACTTTAAATAGATGTATTTTTCCATCCATTTTTTCTTTTAATAAACTCCAAGTTTGCTCCTTATTAAATTAATAGCTAACAAGGCAGTTATTGTAGTGGTTAAGCTTAAGTATGGGATATGATTAAAGGATGTCAAATTTCATCATTTGGACATTAACACGCATTACGACTACTAATAAACAGCCAATTTAAAAGCTTACAAGCAACTAGTTAAAAGTAGGAATTGGTCACATATTATATTACAACCAATGATGGTCACACCTCATTTTAAGGTACATTTCTAGTTAACACACCATAAACAATCAATTTTGCCTTAATAAACTGCTCATTTGCTGCTTGACATAAATTATTAAGGTAGTATTTAGCTTTGAGGGTAGGATTAGAGATGCAGCAAAAATTTGTACTTTAAAAATAGAAATAAGCAGCCAATATCTTAATAACATGAAGATAATAAGCTTCTATTAACAATTTGAATTTGTACTTAATCAAAAGAGTTACCCAAATAATTTGTGTTTACTCTGCTAAATCATACCCCTATACAGTTCATTATAGAATTAGAAAATAAATTAAATAAATAAATGACTTAGTTTAAGAGAATCCGTGGAGTTTTCTTTAAATAAATAAATATTTAAATGAATAATTTGATATTGTAGACTTGTCATATCCTTAACTTGTTTAGCAATACATTAGTCTACTGTATGAAACAATTACATTTGTTGACAGATGTAAAGACACCTACTATAAAGTGGGGCTGCCTCTCTGATTCATTCATCTTTTCGTTCACACCCTAATTACTTAAATAAAATTATTTATTTACCTTAAAATGTGGCATTAATCCTGTTTATTTTGTTTATTTGAGCAGTACACTTCACGATTGGTTCTTCTTTGATGTTTTGCAGTCAGACATGGCTGAAAAAAATGGATTACGAAAAACATACACGGTCCAAATGAAAGAGCTGACGGAGT